TATAATCAAAGGAATAAATATCTATGAGTCCAAACTAATTTAAGTAAATAATTTATTAATAAGTAAAGGAGAAGTGACTCTTCCTTACAGAAAAATTCCAATTATTAAGTATAAAAAAGTAAGGAAATAAAAAACCCAAAGTAGTAATTGATGCAGGCAAGATACACCGACGAATTAAAAATTTAATGGGCAAAAGTTTAAAAAGAAGTGCCACATTTGCATAGCCTCAAAGTACCCCTCCCCAAACTATTTATTAATAACAAAGGGAAAATAATTTTTGAAGTGTGACTTTACACGTAAAAGCCTGACAGACACTATCTTAATCAAATGATAAAGGTTAACATCACCAGTAATACGACATGCTGATGTCACATATTTCTATGGTATTCTTCCCAAAAATCCATAACTTCACTCTAACTATAACAAAACATTAGACAAAACCAAACTGAGGGACATTCTACAAAAACCTGACCAAGTACTCTTCAAAAGTGTCAAGGTCATGAAAGACAAAAAAAAAACAAACTAAAGAATTGTGGCAGGCTGGAGAAAACTAGAGACATGAAACTAAATGTGATATGGGACCCGGAATTGGATCTTGAAAGAAAAGAACATTAGCGGGAAAATCAATGAAATTCAAATAGTTTGAAGTTTAATTGGCAGTAATGAATCAATGTTAATTTCTTGGTTTTGATTTGTCCCATGGTTAAGTAATGTCTTAACATTAGGAAAAGTTGAATAAAGAATGTACAGGAACTCTACTTCTTTTTAACTCTTCTGTAAGTCAAAAACTATTTCAGGCAGCTGGATAGCTCATTTGATAAGAGCACAAGCTCTAAACAACAGGGCTGCTGGTTCAATTCCCACATGGGCCAACAAGCTGCACCAGTAAGCTACGCCCTCTACAGCTAAGATTGTGAACAACAGCTCGACCTGGACCTGGGCTGCCGTGAGTGGCCAGAGTGAGCTGCCGAGGGCTGCCATGAGCCATGGCCAGTAGCCGGCGTGAGTAGCCGGCAGCCAGAGTGAGCTGCCGTGATCTGCTGTAAGCAGCCAGCCAAAGGCCAGCAACTGACTGCCTCAGCCAGGGAGAAGCACAACGATCACAATACCAACATGGGCCAGTGAGCAGCGTTCTCCACAACTAGACTGAGAGCTAGGCTCGGAGGTGAGGCGGGGAAAGAGGTAAACAAAAATTATTTCAAAACAAAAAGTTTGTGCCTGTAAGATTTTCATGACAGAGCAAGAGTCTTTATATCAAACAAACAAAAAAGGAGGAAAGACAGAAAAAACACAGAAAGCAAATACTTGAGAATATTAACAATGATTTGTCTGGGGGGCGGCCAGGTGGCTTAGTTGGTTATAGCGTGTGCTCTGAACAGGGTTGTCCGTTCACTTCCCCACGAGCCAGTGAGCTGCGCCCTCCGCAACTAGATTGAAGACAACAACTTCAACTGAGCTGCTGGTGGGTGGTCGGATGGCTCAGTTGGTTAGAGCGTGTGCTCTTAACAAGGTTGCCAGTTCCACTCCTCCATGGGATGGTGGGCTGCACCCCCCTCAACTAGACTAAAAATGGCAACTGGACTTGGAGTTGAGCTGCGCCCTCCACAGCTAGACTGAAAGACAATGACTTGACCTGGAGCTGATGGGTCCTGGAAAAAACACACTGTTACCCAATAAAAATTTTTTTTTAAAAACAATAATTTGTCTGGAAACTAAAATTATAGATAGTTGCTTTTCTTTAAACTTTCTGGTATTTTGTGAAATGTTCTACAATAAGCATGGATTAGTTTTACAATCCATGAAATTAAAAAACATTTTAAAAAAAGAATTATAGGGCCGGCCAAGTGGCTCAACTGGTTAAGAGTGCGAGCTCTGAGCCTCATGGTTGCTGGTTCGATTCCCACATGGGCCAGTGAGCTGTGCCCAAGCTGAGCTGCCACTGAGCTGCCAAAAGGTGGTAGGATGGCTCAGCTGGTGCTCCTAACAACAAGGTTGCTGGTTGGACTCCCGCATGGAATGGTGGGCTACGACCACCTGCAACTAAGATTGAACATAGCACCTTGAGCTGAGCTGCCCTGAGCAGCCGACAGGCAGCCAGATGGCTCAGCGGTTAGAGAGTGCACTCTTAGCAACAAGGTTTCCAGTTTAACTACCACATGGGATGGTGGGCTATGCCCACCCGCAACTAAGATTGAACACGGCACCTTGAGCTGAGCGGCCGCGAGCTACCAATGGGCAGCCGGATGGCGACTGGACTGGAGCTGAGCTAGCAGCGCCCTCCACAACTAAGATTGAAGAACAACAACTTGGCTGTTCCCCTTCCCCAATTCCCCAGTAAAATCTTTCAAAAAAAAAAAAAGAATTATAGATCTTACATTTAATATGAAAGATAAATTAAGGGATGACACAGACTAGAAAGTACTAAATTATTTTGGTTGTTAAAGGGTGAAATAATGAGTATCTAAAATACAGTCAATAGAATTAGGTATACAAATGAATCCAGTGAGTTAGAGAAAAAGAGAAGATATTTTCAGCCTAAGCCACTGGATAGCTAATGATGCCATAATCAAAATAGGCAGAAGTTATCAGAGAGTGTAATAAATTCCACTGTGGACAAACTGGGCTTAAAGAACCCATGGATCACCTGAGAGAATATATCCAACAGGTAATTGCAAACAGGATGAAAACTCAGATGGGAGACTGAGGCTAGAGAAGAATGTGAGGTGTCAAATTACAAGCAGTCACTGAAGCACTGGAGATGGTTTACTACTCCTACCTTCATCATGTAGAGCAATAAAAGAAAGCCAGGACAGAATCAAAGAGAAGTCATCAGGCAAGCCATGAGCCAAAGAGTTAACAGGAAAACTGAAAAACTGTCAAAGCGTTGGGGGGAAAAACTAGAAGAGGCTGGTGTATCTGAATCCAATAGGAGGAGAAATCCTTATTTTCTAGCATGCTTTGCTAGAGTTCAACTAAGATGAGAATTAATTCACTTGTACTAGATTTGTTAGTAAGGAAGTCATTACTGATCACAACACAAACAAGCTGCGATGAGACATGGGTCAGTCGTAGAGAACTGAGAAGTTGAAGAGTAAGCAGTTGTCAGTGAAGGAGGAAAATCGATTAGTAGCAAGCACACATGCAAAAAGATTTCTGTAATTTAGGGATTTTCTTTCACTGAAATATTCCCTACTTACTTAAAACATTCAATTGTACATGTAATGGACTATAGCCAGCTTAAAGACAACACCCAGGGCTTGTATATCTAGCAAGAAACCCTGAAAAGCCTCCAACAAAACACCCAAACTGATACCTTAGCATGACAGTAGTCTTATATAGAAAAAAACGTAAAGAAAAAAGCGTAGAAAAGCAAGGTAAACTGAAAGCACAAATAAAAGAATAAAAATAAATATTTATCAATAATTTATCAATATTTATTAATATCAATAATCACTACAAATAAGACCAACTAAACTTACCAGTTAAAAGACAGATTGTCCAAATGGGTTTTTAAAAATCCAGCAATTCTATGCACAGGTATTTATCCAAGAGAAATGAAAATATTTGTCTATAAAAGATATAACGTTCACAGCACCTTTATTCATACTCCAGTCAAAATCTGGAAACAACTCAGATATTCAACTAGCAGTACATAGATAAACGAATGGTCGTAAAACCATTCAACAGAAAGGTACAAACTACTGATATACCTAACAACATGGATGAATCCCAAAAACATTTTAATGGGGAAAAGAAACCAGACATAAAAATGTGTACTGAATGATGCATTTTTACACAAGTCTATAGAACAAGCAAACTAATAGATACTGCCAAAAAGCAAATCAGTGTGCCTCGGGCTGGGGTGAGATGAGAAAAAATGACTGGGAGGGGGACACTGGGGCACCTCTAGGGAAATGAAAATGTGCTATATCTTGATGGTGGTCATAGTCACACAGGTAGACACATCTACCAAAACTCACTGAGCTGTGCATTTTAACAGGTGCATTTCATTGTATGTAAATAAAACTTCAATAAAGTTGATTTTTAAAAACTGATCCAGCCAAACATTTGTTTATAAGAAACACACCTAAAATATGACTCATGAAAGTTGAAGTTACATAAAGGAAGGAAAAAGAAAGAGCTAGCAAGTGTTAGTAACCAGAAGAAATCTAATATAGTTCTATTACTATCAGAAAACATACACTTTAAGGCAGAAAACATTATAAATAGGACTACCAAATAAGGACTATGAAATAATGATAAAACAAATAAACAGTAATACAGAATAGATTTTATTGATGTTTTACTACCCAACAATTTAAAAATATATACTCTTTTCATGAGCATATAATGGGTTTTTAAAACCTGACCATATACTAAGCATATAGCACTTCTCAATAAATTTTAAATAATTTGTATTAGAAATCAAGTACAAACCATGTAACAATAAAACAATTTGGTTGAACATTAATAACAAAAATATAACCCCCAAAATCTAACCTATGTGTAATTTTTTAAATATTTCCTTGACCCATGATACAAAGAAGTCATAATGGAAATTAGAAAATATTTACAATTGAATAATTAACTAATCAAAATCTATGGACTGTAGCTAAAAAAATACTTAGAGGGAAATTTACAATGAAAGATTTACAGAAGATTGAATATTAATGAGATAATGGCCCAATTTAAGTTAGAAAAAGAATAGAGAAACAAAAACAATAGTGGTAGATTGGTGAACAAGAAAATAAAGATATAATGGAGAGCGTTTACAAAGCTAAAATCGAGTTGCTCAAAAAGACTAAGAAACTTGACAAGCCCCTGATAAAGCAGGTCAAAAATAACAACCAAAGGCATAAACATATAATATTAGGAATGGAAAAGGGGATTAATTACAGAAACAAAAAGGCTTTAGGTCCGTTTGAGTGTAGTGTTGGGCAGAAGTTGATGATTACAGAGCATTACGTATTTGGTCACCATGGCCATTCATTTTTACTTACCGCCAACAGAAGACACATTTATTTGCACATGCTAAGCTTGGGGTGGTTTCCATGCAACGATGGCTTTCAATGCCATAGAATGTATGTTTATAGCAACCTCCTCTCCCTCGGAGCATCGACTATGAAAGCAAAAAACAAATGATAATTTGAATAAAATCCTCAAAGCACAGAACAAAACACCACGGCATCATTGTTAAGAATAAACCATGTATTTTATAACCATAAATACCCCTACTGGGGTCTGCACCATACAGAAAACCAACACTATAGCATTACAGTGTTTCCATAGTGATTTGCATTTTCTAAAACCCAATGAAATAAACCCAAGATTCATTAAATCTGAAAAGCCTTACAGGAGGACCACTGATATTTTCAGTTTTAAATCCATCCAACTGTCTCAAATAATATCAGTTCAATAATATATAATGCCAAGGGATAGACGAGTCTCCGGAAAATGCAGGCAGCAGCCCCATGGAAGAAAAGGCATCTCTGCTTTGAATAGGGAGGGTGGATAGGAAATCATCCTGGAGCACAGACTGTGTCACCTGAGCAGCAGAATTTGAACATATTGAGACTGTTGAGGAGACAAGCATCTTGTATATAAGAAACAGATTATTAAAAAAAAACTACTTAACATGTGAGTGGTAAAACTACAGCAGTAAGAAAGAGTACTTTGAAGAAATACCGCAGATTCATTAGGGTTGGAGTCACAAGATAACATCCAGTTTTATGTAGTATCATCAGAGAGGGTTGTCCAGAAGCTCTTTGTAAGATGGGCCCGATTTCAGTAAAAGTGAAACATGTGAGGAAGTTACACAAAGTCATAATGACTTGGTTCATAAGAGTGGATTAAAGGGGGAGGGTACTAAAGAGGTTCCAAGCAGAGGAGCAAAACATAGCAAGCCATCCAAGACAGATGAGTAACTAAAATATGACGGAATTAACAACAACAACAACAAACAAGTAGACACAATTAGGGAGCCTTTATACATATATATATATGTGTGTGTGTGTGTGTGTGTGTGTGTGTGTGTGTGTACAGTACACAATATTATAATGCTGTCTACAATGGAAGAAAATTATATATAAAATCTACCAGCTTGATGACTATGTCAGTTGATTAGGAAGTTTTATTTTTTTGTCCTGATAGAAGGAGTCTCCCATTCATCTCACTTAGTACAGTTGACCCTTGAACAAAATCGGTTTGAAATGCACGGGTCCACTTACATGTGAATTTTTTTTCAATAAATACTGCACATGTATTTTCTCTTCCTTAAGATTTTCTTAAAAACATTTTGTTTTCTATAGCTTACTTTGTTATAAGAATAAAGTATATAATACATGTAACATACAAAATATGTGTTAATCACCTATTTGTGCTATTGGATAGACTTTGGGTCAACAGTAGACTATCAGTTAAATTTTTGGGGAACCAAAAGTTAAGGGCCGGCAGAGTGGCACGTTGGTTAAGAGCTGGCTTGGGATGCCAGCTCTGAGTAGTAGGGCCCTGGAATCCCACATGGGGGCCAGTGACTCTGCCCTCTACAGCTAAGATGGCAAACCTGGAGCTGGGCTACCGTAAGCTACCATGTGTGGCTGGCAGCCAGCATGAGCAGCTGGCAGGCGGTGTGAGCTGCCAAGAGCCACTGTGAGCAGCCGTCCAGAGACCAGCGACCGATCTGCCTCACCCGGGAAGAGCACAATGATAATACCAACATGGGCCAGTGAAGCAACATCTTCCACAACTAGACCGAAGAACAAAACGACAGCAACTTGTCTGTTCCCAATTTTCAACTTCCAGGGTCAGCAAGCCAAATCCCCGCATGGTTCAAGGGTCAAATGTACTTGCATCAAGAAAAAAAAAGTGAAGGAAGAAAAATATTTTTCAGGATAGCCGTGTTTACAAACTCTCTTTCAAATTTCCAATAAAATATTCAGGAAAGCAAAGAAAACATTCAAAACTTGTAAATAGCATTGAAAACTAAAAGTCCACCAAATGCCAGAGAAGAATTCCCACTAAATGTCATGCCAGTGGAGGAAGCTGCAGACCTGCACGAACCCATCATGTACGGAGAAGTTAATGCACCTCCAACATGCTGTGCGGAATGCATGTGAGGAGTAAGACAAGGCTCCACCCACAATCTGGTGTACAGGAAACAGCCAGCAGGCAGAACGGCAGCACTAGGACAGAGTGACTGAATCAAGATTCTATTGCAAGCAGAAGAAACTGGCTCAAGTGAAACAGAAAAGGGATTTGTTAAAAGTCTCTCATAGCTCATAGAATTTCTAAAAGGAAGGACGGAAGATTGACTGAAGGACCACCACTCAATCTCTGAGAATCCATCCCCTACAGATACCACCACTCCCTAGATACCATCATCAGCACCACTCCTGAAAACCAGATGCTGCCACCAAGGGCACACAAAGGAGTTCTCCGTGTCACAGTCCTTCTATTGCTCACTCCCAACTCAGACTCTCTGGCTGAGGAGAGTGACTATCCTAGGTGACACCAGGTGACACCAGGTTGCCAGGGCATGGTACCAAGAAGCAGTATCTGTCCTCCTTGGCTTCTGGAGCAGGCAGTGGACCCTGGCTCCAAACAAAGCCCATTTAACAGGGTATTCTCCAAACGTAAAGACTCAGGCTAAGCAGGCAGAGGAAAAACAAATATCCATCATGGGTTACTGGAGCCAATGGGAGAGATGACCAATCCAGCCAGACTTGCAGGACCAGTGAAAGCTTCCCAGAGGGGTCACGTCCAAAGTGAATAATGAAGGGCCAAAAGGATCAAGGGACAAGAGACATGTAAGAAGAGGCATGGCATGCTTTTCTTCAAAAAACTTTTTTCTAAAAGTTTTATACTTTTACAGTTTAAAGTTCATTATTCATTTTGAGTTAATTTTTATATAAGGTGTAAAATTTAAGATGACCCTTTTGTGTATATACTTTTAGCATTTATTGTTATTGGGTTGTTTGCGCCTATGGATATTTAATTGCCCCAGCACGATTTGTTAGAAAGGCTATATCCTTCCTCTAAGGAATTTCTTTTTTTTTTTTTTTTTAGCTGAGCCATCCTGCTACCTGTTGGCAGCTCAGCGGCAACTCAGCTCAGGCCGGGCATCAAACCACTGTTGCTCAGAGCTCACACTCTTGAGCGAGCTCTTAACCAACTGAGCCACTCGGCCGGCCCCATTGTATAGTATTTTAAATCACACTTTTTAATATCACAACTGAAGCCAGACACAAAAGGCCACATACTGTATGATTCCACTTATATGAAATGTCCAGATTAGGCATATTTAGACAGTAAGTAAATTAATAGTTGTGGCTGCTCGCTCGCAGATCATGAGTCGGCAGAAATACAGAAGGATGATTTACTAAAGAGGAGGGTCGGCTGGGCAGAGTCTGCTGGAAACTGCTGCCCCGAGTCTTTGTTTCATCTGAAGTTTTATATTTTCTATCTAGGATGTACATTGCTTTGGCCTGTAGCAGAATCTTCTACTGTGTTTGGCTTTGTCTATTGGGGTGGGGGGAGGTGCAGTTAAACTGGTTATAACAACCTTTGCATATGTTATACAGATTTAAGTTGGAGCCAGGAATGGATCCCATACAAATGTAAAACTTCTCCCAAGTCACCAGGTTAGGCATGCAAGGCCGAAGTAAATAGAAACATTGAAACTGGTCTGCATAGTAAATGTATAGTAAACAGAGTCATTAAGGTTTGGCCAAAAGGAGACAAAGAAAAGAAAGCTTTCAAAACGAGACAAGCTAAATTAAACTTGTTAAATCAAATTATACCACAAGTCCAAATCTCAAGAGAAGATACAGTGCCACAATTACAATCCCCCCCCCCCCCGGTCTTATTATTGGATCCTTAAGGTTGAGGGGAAGAGGGAGAATGAGGATTGACTGTTGATGGGCCCATAAGTTCTTTTAGAAGGGACCAAAATGTTCTAAAATCAAATTGTGATCATGTTTACACAGCCCTGTGAACATACTAAAAACCACTGGACTATACACTTTAAACAGGTGAATTGTATGTGTAAATTGTATCTCAATAAAGCTATTAAAATGCTATCTTATTTGTACCCATGGGATTCTCATTAATGGCGGTGGCTGAGTACCAACAATGGAGAGGCCGATGCCACTGAAAGAATATTATTACTTACATTTCCCAAGGGAAGGCGGCACACCGTGCCACACAAGGTGACAGAGGAGCACCAGGTCTGTTCAGGCGGCAGAGAGAGGAGCCGGGGGAAAGCCTAGGTCAGAGCCTTTTGGGACATTTCCCCCAGAAAGGCAAGGCAAAGCCAGGTACACAGCTAGGACTGGCTAGTGTAACTAATTCCTGGGGGCTTTGCTTATAGGGCTGTCTCTGTTGTCAGGTTCCTGGCCTTGGGATGATTTAAGGCAGGGAAGATACTGGCTCAGTGTGTGTGATTTACATAGGAGGTAGCTATTAGCTACACATTAAGAACTGGTTGGTTTACATATGAAAGATGAGCTCAAGGCAAGATGTAGTTATCTTTAGGAATTAGCATGCCCTGGGAGGGGCAGTTTCTCCACAGGTCTATAAGGCCCCCAAAAGCCAGAGCATCAAGACTACAGAAAATAAGGGCTGGCCAAGTGGCGCGTTGGTTAGGAGTTGACTTGGGATGCCAGCTCTGAGCAGCAGGGCCCCAGTTTGGATCCCACAAGAGGGCCAGTGACACCACGTGCTCTACAGCTAAGATGGTGAACAAACAGCTCAACCCGGAGCTGGGCTGCCGTGAGTCGCCGGCAATGGCGTAGGCTGTAGTGGGGCTGGCCGGCAGCTAGCATGCGCTTTCGTGAGCCACCATGAGCAGCCGTCCAATGGCCAGTGAGCGAATGCCTCACCCGGGAAGAGTGCAATGATAATACCAACGTGGGCCAGTGAAGCGACGTCTTCCCCAACTAGATTGAAGAACAAAGGATAGCAACTTGTCTGTTCCCCTTCCCTGATTCCCCAAAGCTGTTCTCTCCCCCAATTCCCCAATAAAATCTTTTAAAAAATAAAATAAAATAGTACCACACTGAAAGCCAATTGGGAGTTTCTCATCAAGTTAAATATGCCAGGGTGCCGAATGTATACAAGTGGACACTTTGGTCAACGTTGCTCAAGCAGTAGTTCGCCATAATCAGAGGTTGTCTGGATGCTGATGGTAACCACTTTGGTAGCACCTCTTGTAATTGCAGAAGTCAAACATGAGTTGTATTCATCTTTTGTTATTCGTATATATTGAGTATTACAATTTTAATAGTTTTTTTCCTTTATTAAAATGTGTATACATTTTTTTGGCACCCTCTGTATATCTAGTGATTCCAACCCTAGGTATGTACCCAAGGAAATTAAAACATATGTTAACAAAAAAGCATTGTACAAGAATGTTCATAGCAGTTTTATTCATAATAGCCAAAACCTGAAACGCAACCCAAATGTCTATCAACAGATTAAAAACTGTGGTATATTCATACTATTGAATAGTACTCAGCAATAAAAAGGAATGAATTACTGATATATCTCAGAAACATTATGCTGAGTTTAAGAAGTCCCTTGCAGGGCTGGCTGAGAGGCTCAGTTGGTTAAGAGCTCACTCAAGAGTGCGAGCTCTGACCAACAGCAGTTCAATTCCCGGCCCGAGCTGAGTTGCCGCTGAGCTGCCAGCAGGTGGCAGGATGGCTCAGCTAAAAAAAAAATAAATAAAGAGTTGGCTTAAGAGCACAAGCTCTGAGCAACAGGGCCGCCAGTTCAATTCCCACATGGGCCAGTGACACTGCGCCCAAGCTGAGCTATTGCTGAGCTGCCAACAGGCGGCAGGATGGCTCAGCTGGTATAACAACAAGATTGCCTGTTTGATGGTAGGCTACACGCACCCGCAACTAAGACTGAACTCGGCACCTTGAGCTGAGCTGCCGCCCAGATGGCTTAAGATAGAGCGTGCGCTCTTAACAACAAGGCTGCTGGTTCGACTCCCGCGTGGGATGGTGGCTACGCCCATCCACAACTAAGATTGAACACAGCACCTTGAGCTTAGAGGCCACGAGCTGCCAACAGGCAGCCAGATGGCGACTGGCACCCTCCATAACTAAGATTGAAGAACAACAACTTGGCTGGTCCTCTTCCCCAATTCCCCAACACTGTTCCCCTCCCCCAATTTCCCAATTAAAAAAAAAAAAAAAGAAGTCCCTTGCAAAAAACTACACATTATATGATTCCATTCATATGAAATTCTAGAACAGGAAAAACTAAAATACAGCGAGCAACTGGAACAACTGTTGTCTGGCTGTGGGAGAAGGGGTATTGACTAGAAAGAGTAAACTTATGAGGTAAGGAAAATAGTCTATACCTTAAATTCAAGTGGTAGGTAAGGTTTTTTCTACATCCATCAAAATTTCCTGAACTCATTTAACAAATTCATTCAAAATCATTACATTTTAGTAAATTAAATACCTTTAAAATGGTAAAATTCATTGACTGTATAGAATAACCATACAAAAGGTGCATAAAAACAAATACCTTTGTCCACCTGCAAAGCTTCACCCCAGAGTGGCTCCCAATCAACTGATAACCTGAATGGAAAAACAGGGAACACAAAATAGAACTGATTCAAAGCCTCATATCAGAACGTGCTTATGAAACTAGCAAAATCATTTTTCTTTGCTTAAATAATGGTAGGAAACAACCCAGTGGAAAATCATTAAAAGTTTAATTCACCAGAATGATAAAACAATTTAAAATGGGTATACATGTAATAATACACACTGAAAATACATAAAGAAACAAGAGGCTAATTTAAAATCATAGGAGAGAGATTTATTTCAGCACCTCTCAGCATCTAACAGATCTCACAGACCAAAATTCAGTACAGCCTCAGCTCAGAGAGACACCGGAAACATGACCAAAGACACACAGCACTGACTCAGCAACTACAGAACACACGTGCTCTTCAAGGACACACGGACATTTACAAAAATGAGCCATATGCTGGGCCATAAAGCAAAAGCAAGTAATAGTAAGTTTCGAATGGATGACTGAGGAACTCTCATCAGTAATCTTTGAAAAAAAATGGAAGAATCAGGGCAACAGATTAAAATAAAGAAATACTGCTGCTCCCCCCAAAAAAGTGGGAAAATCAAATTCTAGGAACTACAACCTAACATGAATCTCAGCACTACTCTACAACCTACCATTTAAATTTTTTGTCACATAAGACATGAAAAGCATGGAAAAGCCATGCCAAAGCAATCATATTTCCTTTTTTTAACAAAATAGTAGAGCAAACAAGTAGAATGCTCTGATTTCAGGAAGCATTAATAAAGCTTTTCATGGGGCTGCAAGTAATAAGCCATAATTATCTTTGTCTCTTGCACAAAAAGACTCTTCACTTGCAAACAAATGAAGCAAATAGGGAAATACAGTCTGGATGATGGCATAAGTGGATCAGGGGCTGGTGAAACATCTACATTCAGTGTGATGATTAATGGAACAATGTCTATTTGGATTCCAAGTCGCTAGTGGCAACATTACAGGGCTTTGTCTTTTCTCCTCTTCCACATTTATGTAAATATCCTGCATATAAATAAACAAAGTACTGCTTATCTAGCTGAAGATGAACTGAGTCCAACTGAATAGCTAATCTCAGATACAGAAGAAACATTTAAAAGATTCCCAGAGAAAATTCTAGTTCTTCTTTAGGATTCCTACATTGTGTGCTTTGTTCATATCACTATGACAGAAATCACATTCTCTTGTATTAGTTCTTTATAGCATTCTCTCCCAAGATACATAGGGTTCTACAAAATTTTGTATTTAGGTAGGAATGAAAGAAACCACACAGTGCAGGAAGGAGAAGCCTGTAGCTGACCACACACCAAGATAAGCCAACAGTATACAGTTGCTGAAAATGATGGTGCAGAATTCTGCCTCTAACCAAGATGGAGTAACAACATTACTCTCCCACCTGAAAAACCAAAAAATGGAGAAAACATATTGAACAACAGTTTTCAAGACATGAAACATCAGGCAACAAAGGATGGTGATCCAAGAGAGATGGGAACCAAACAAGGTGAGCCCTCCTATTACTCACACTCACTGCCTTGAAAGTTTCCAGGCTCTGCAGATGGGAGAGGCAACCCATATAAAGCCTGGTGTTCTCCCTGAGTTGAGGACATGAAAATGAGGGTCTGAGGAGCCCATGTATAAGAGTTCACAGGATTGAGTACCAGAGAGACCAAAGCTATTGGGCTGTCAGAAAAGTCATGACGCATTTTTGCAACAAAAAACATAGAAAAAAAATACGTCATGACTTTTCCAACAACCTAATACACAGGAACTAAACTCAAGAGTCTGCAGAGGATTCCTATAAGTATTTCCCTGAGTACTGCTTAGTGCACATGTGAGAGAAAGCTACCCTCGAATGGGAAAGAACCATCTGAAAGGATTAGACGTATGCCTGGCACTCAAAGCTGGCTGGAACTGTCTGTCTGTTCCTACCCATCAGACAGGAAAAGATTCACAAGGCAGAGTACAAAGAAGTGTTTTGCCTCAATAGTGGGAAATAATATATACTCAGCTATATACTCAGCTGGCTCTGGTCTCACCTAACAAGTCATAATAGATTAAGATGCTCAAAACTGTTTCCAAGTAACATCTCTTAGTCCCAGAACAAGGCTCAAGAAAATTTATAGAAATACAAAAATATTTACCACCCAACAAGGTAAAATTAGATCTAGCCTTCAATCAGATTACCAAGCATGTATGTACACATAGGAAAACATGATCAAAAATAAGGAAAATAATCCAGTAACCAAAACTGAAACAGAAATTACCTACATTA